CGTTATATTTCACTCACCATTAGCTTATTTTGTTTACTATAAAACATTGAAAATAAATGTTAAACCTGATTTCAGTTCTTTTATTTTAATCTAAATATTACCCCTCATATCTGGACTTTGTAACCAATTCCTCATATCCGGAAGGCCTTCTTAGTCCGGTTGTCGGGGATTTTACCGTAAATAAACAATCAAGAGATAATCATGCCGAACGATCGTCGCTTCTGTCATTTCTTTACCTTTCTATATCGACAAAATCTTTATCAGAATTCTGGCTCTCCCAAGTAGTGAGTGTTTCTGAAGCATCTCAGTGTAAATTAATCGAATTTTACCCAGCCCTTTTTGGATTGCGTCTGTCACTGCCCCCAAAGCGCCCACAAAAACAGAAACAACGTCTTCTCTCTTACTCCTCTCCACTAGCGTGTTGCCTTTGATTTCAAATCTTGATAACTTTCTTTCTCAACTACACTGATATACTCCAGTACCGCTATATCAATAATCCGATATTGTCTCTTTTCTGGACATAGTTTGCCTTACTATTTAGCGCGTATCTGAGGGGAGATTTATGCATTTGTGTGAGAAGTGAATATAACAGACTAAAATGAAACGAATTCCTCTCACATTTCCACACCAATAACCATTACAGAAACTGCATGTCCGTCACGACTAAAATAAGTATGCTGATTCCAAATATGTGTTCAGAATATTCCAAGAAGATTCTTGAGATATACATATAACATATTTATATTCAAGGTAAATATATTAATATTAGTATAATTTCATCTGGCAGCATGAGATTCATTCAAGTGAGCTGTACAGAATTCTCTTCTTAAGTTGCAAACCTGAAGACTCAACAGGTTGTTTCTTACATTATTTACATTATTCGGACTATTGTCCTCATCTTTGTCACCATATTTATTACAACGCTTCGCCCGTTGTACGCTCCGGCCTTCTTCAGGTGGTTGGAATGTCAAATTTAACCTTTATTTCCTGAGGACAATGTGCCATGTGTCCTCATGGACACATGGCACAGTGGATAAAAGCGTTAGTTAGATCCAATGACAGGACCCAAAGAGTGTGAGTTCAATACCCCGTTAAGGCAGTGGAGAACTTTCAGAGGGAAATTAACAGGAGATAACTGATAACTGGCAACCATTAAACATGGCACGTGGAAATAGAACAGTCTACCCCAGTGAGCAAAATAAAGGGCTAAGTTTGACATTCCAACCACCTGAAGAAGGCCTGAACGCACAACAGCCGAAACGTTGTAATAAATATGGCAACAAAGATGAAGACAATAGTCCGAATAATGTAAATAATGTACATAATACCACATCTCAGAAATATAGACAGATACGGAATCTATATTCTTTGTAACAGAGTAGGTCGTGAGAGATAAAACGCTTAATCAATTCGGCATAGATTAAAGCCTCGAATACTTTGTCGAAAAATGGTAGGAGACTAATAGGACGATAATTAGGAGGGGTCAGAAGATTCACCAGAACTCTTAAAAAACAGGAACTACAGAGGAGGAATTCCAACAGGCTGACAAGCAGGAAGCAACGAGACAATAGTTGTAGAGTTTGGCGAGAACTGGAGCTCGCTCGGGTGCACATTTCTATAGGACGATGGCTGGTATCCCATTATGTCCACTTGCCTTATGGGAGCGTGATTTAAAAATGATGTCCGAGACCAGTGACGGGATTATGCGCGTATCGCTCAATAGAGCCTCAGTTCTAGGGGTGGTTGGTACTCCAAATGAGTCGAGTGTTCAGTTGGATGAGAATTTCCGAGGAAACCTTTCTATTTTATCTGCTGTAGATATTAGGACTTCGAATTGATTGAATAGAGGAGGGATTGATGATTTGCTATTGTTCAGTACATTCTTGAAGAGCCGCCAGTAATCTCTAGAACCGAACTTGCGAGATGCCATACGTTCTTTCATTCTATCAGCAAACAGTAACTTCGCTTCATTGAAGACACGCTTGCACACATTACGAGTAGAGACAGATACGTCTGCTGCAATCAGACGCGTCGCTCTGATATGACACTGACAAACGGAAAGGGCTAAAGAATGGAACGATAAACAGACTGAGAGAAAGAATCAAGATTTCTTTTAATTTTAAAAGCATATTTTTTTTAGCAGGGGAGGCTTGAAGAAGGTAGCTTTGTTGGAAAGATATTACCACAGAGGCCATCTGGTATGATTGATGCCGCTGCCTTAAAGTGGAAGTTAAAAAAAAAACAGCTCCTAGGAATCAGCCAGGAAACGAAGCCGGTTGAAAAGATAATATTTGGTCATTTTTAAAGACAAGGCAGAATTTGAAAAAAAGAATTATTCCTGCTATCAAAAAATGGAAATTGTAAACAAATCGAGAAAATAGAATTTCTTTATCTAAGGCCTTAACCCTGGGTTCTTTAAGTGCAGTGACCCTAACAAGATGCGGAGATAAGATGACCGGATGGTATTGAACTCAATGGATAAAGATGTTGATTAGATCCAGTGACTAGATCCAAAGAGTTGCGAGTTCAATACCAGATCACAGCAGTGGTGAACCAAAAACTTGGAGAGTTGAGTTAAAGGGAAATAACTGAAACATCCGGAAGAGGCATGGAACGTTGAACTAGAACAATCTACCCCGGTGGACGAAATAAAGGGTTAGGATCGAAATTCCAATCACCTGAAGAAGGCCGGAGCGTACAATGGCCGAAATACTGTGACTATGACAATGAAGATGAGGATAACAGTTTGAATACTGTAAATAATGCAAGTAATCATAATACCTCATCTCAGAGATATACGAATGCCAGCATTGATCTTGTGGGCTTCCAATGACCAGCCATTAACAACGAGGTTCATGGACCGACCTGTTAAGAAGAACTTCCAGAGATTCCATTTATGTATCAGCTACCAATGTTACATTTTGTCAAAGGGCCTTTGATATGTCGAAGGTGATGGTTGTCATGATGAATTTATTGTCTAGTGACTCACTGGTTCTATGAGTAATGGCCATTAAGAGAGTTGTGGAATGTCTGTTCTGGTTCTTCCGGCTGAGGTGTTCGACAACATTCTTGTTGATTATAAATTCAAATTGTTTCCTGATGACTCTAAGAAGGTTAATGAGTCGATGCTGCAAAGGTCAATGGTGCTCACCCACACACTAAAAAGCATGACACACCCACACACTAAAATGCATGACCCACAGTTAACAGCTTTCAGACTTGGGATGCCTCTCTACTTCAGGTCGCAATTAAAAAGGTTTGCCAGATTTTAAGATGACTCTGGGCTGACATTCTTAAGAACAGCCATTGGGATTTTGCCCAGACTGGTTGGCTTCTCAGATTCAAGGATTTTGATAAGTCGGTTCTTTTTGTTGAATGGCATATCAAACTCTATGAATTATTTAATGCCGAAATCTAAATATTTTGAATTGTTTGCTTTGATTGTATTTAGCGGCATATCAACCTTTATTGTTTATTTAATGCCAAAATCTAAATATTTTGATTGATTTGCTTTCATTGAGTTTAGCGGCAAAACAACCTTTATTGTTTATTTAATGCCAAAATCTAAATATTTTGATTGATTTGCTTTGATTCATTGTGTTTAGCGACATATCAACCATTATGGGTTATTTAATGCCGACATCTACTTATTTTGATTACTTTGGTTTGATAGATTGTGTTTAGCGGCGTATCAACTTTTATGGGTTATTTAATTCCGAAATCTAAATATTTTGATTGGCTTGATTTGATTTATTGTGTTTAGCGGCTTATCAACCTCTATGGGTTTGTCATACCATATCCTCACCTCACTGGACCCACGCACTCCACGATACTGGTCGTTGGTCCAGTATGGTCCAGTACTACAGGTTTAACACAAGTCTCCGATTCTCAATATCAATTCGAAGCCACCCTCCAGCCACGTTTTGATTCTTTTGATCCTGGAGAATGGTTATTAGATCGTAGAAATCCGGAAGCTCTCTGTTGGTCCACCTGTGAGTTCGTCGGATGAAAATCAGGTTAACAAAAAAATAAATATAACCAATTCGATTCGATTTCGAAAGGACAAAAGTTTGTTTATATATATATATATATAAGCAAACACACACACACAAAAATAATTCTTGTTGCCCAAGGTCGAATGTTTCTTGTATGTGAGCAATAACCAAACAAACACAAATATTTCGAATAATTTCGGTAAAGGAGAGATGTAACCCTTTTTGGTCTGTTCTTAGCGCAACTACTACAACCTACAATGTTATCATTCTCAGTAATAGTAGTAGTAGTATAAGCAGTAGCGGTACTTAGATGTACTTTTTCTGTCCTCAGCAGCACTTATTCCTCCCACATATTGTTTTATTCGCAATTCTTGTAAACTTCTTGTTTTTTGCACATTTCACATTTCCAGTAAATCTTATTGTTCACTGTTTTGTTCTTAATATATAGCTATCCATCCAAACACTTCTTCTTTCCTTTTTCGCTCTCAACAAAAGTTATGTCCATTACTAGGGTTCGAGATCTCCAAAATTGCTGAAATAGAAAAAAAATATAGAAAAAAAGGGAAACCACACATAGAAAGAGTAGCCTTGCCACCGTTTGTTGAGCCAACCAAGACAGAAAGTCCTAGAAGATTGACTGCTAAAGTGAGTGTTGTGGCTTCGAGCAATCAGCGTTTCGAGCAACTGATAGTTCGAGAAATTATTTTTCGAGCAATTTACTGTCGAGCAATTGATTTCGAGCAATTTACCTAGATCCGGTGGAGTCTTAACAACAGACCTACTAGCACCCATCTCCCTTTATCGGCCCCTTTGCTTGGGGTCTTCTTTCTGACCCTACACCGGTTGAAGGTTCCCCGAGCCTCTATCTAGTTTAGCTGCCCCCCAGCACGGGCCATGCATGGCATGCCCCCAGCTTGGCCGCATGGCATAGTTTTCATCCTTTAAATATCTCGTCATTCTTGGACATCTCCGGTTTTTTCTTCCTTCCTATTATGGAATTATTTAATGCAAGCATTATTTTTTAGTATCATTTTCTTCCTTAAACGAACTTTTTTGTTTACCTTCTCACCACGTGCGGAAACTCGACTGTTATTAATTTGTATTCTTTTTCTTTCTATGAGTATTTCTTATGTTCAAATGCTTCTATTCTGTAAGTTTATCGTTGTTTTAGTAAATACCACCTTCATTTTGTATTTCTGTATTTCTGAAGAAACGTGTTTTATTTTCTTTCAGTTTTACCTTTTGTCGACTGTCAATTCCCTGTGTCTAAAACATACCATGTCTCAGAGTCTTGATTGTCGATGAGAGTTTATGCTAACTGTCTCTAGGGTTTGTTCATTTCAACGAAATACACGCATCCCGAGACAGTATAGTAAAACGGAGGCCCCCTAATGGTCGGATATTTCGTGGTCTACACCAACCGTCGGAACCGGACGCAACACCAACAACAGTAGTGTCACACAGTTCGCTTGAAAAAACATCCTCAACACTTCTTACCACCAATCATTTTTTTCTCAACAATGGCAGACAACGTGTCAAATCGGTCAAGGATTCATGCCTCCCGCTACCTCGGTCTTCCAGCAGATCGTCTAGGCGGCTTATGGGCTCCATTACCAAAACACGTTTAGGTTCGACAAGGAGCTAAAAAATAAGGATGGAGTTGGAGAAACTACAGCTGAAAAGGAGACGGCTGCAAAAGAAGTTCTGAGGAAGCTGCCGACGAGCTAAAAGAACGGTCCAGCTGCAAAACTCAAAACTCGATAGAAAAAGGCTGACCCTAGCACACGGGTCCGAGAATACTTAGCCGACCAAGCAAGCCAACCGAAACAAGAGATGACTGGACCCCAACCACCTCTTAATGAACAAATCGTTCAAATGGCCGGTTTGAACGCGGAGACCGACTTCTCCCCGCATAGGCCAGGGAGCCCAAACAGACCTAACAACCCCACCTATTATCAGCTTCACTCCCCTAACTCACGTGAGCCCCAACCAGGGACGCCTCCCAGTCTCAATATACCTCAGACCTTGTGGAGGTAAAGGGAACTCATCACTACTGGACTGCCACCTTTTAACGATAGACCTGAAGACTACAGAGCATGGAAGAGGTCTTTCCAGAGTGCCATCAGACACCCTCGGTCTCACATACAGCGAGGAAATGGACCTTCTCGTAAAATGGCTTGGTAAAGAGTCAGGGGAACATGCGAGGAGGCTAAGGTCAGCCCAAACCAAGGTGAGAATATGGGCCTTTTCGAGGAGATATGTTACAGGGCTCCTGAAATGATAGAGGATGCTCTCTTCAAACGAGTAGATTGTCAAACAACGATCTTCCTAGACTTAGGAACTCAGCGATTTAGCTACCGAACTCTTGTCAGCGGAAGATGGAAACCTTCCTGGCCTCGCCTATGCTGAGGGCTCCGCCTTTTATAACCAAACTACCATCCTCACTTCAGGACAGATGGCCTGTTGGTTCCGAATATAAGGAGCGGCAAAAAGGTATTTGTAAACTTTTATTACACAACAAGCTTAAAAATCCAAGTTATAGGTTTGATGAATAAGACCGAAGTGTCCCCACAGAACACCACGCGTCGGCAAAACAAAGATGACAACGACCCCACCCAATATTGATTAAAAAAATTCCACTCACTGTTGAAATGCCGCGCTTTCGAGAGAAAACTCTTGAAAGAGGTGAGACTTATAAGAAAAATGGCATCTGTTTCAAATGTTGCCAGCAGAATGAATATTACATGCAATGAGTGTAAAAGAAGAACACAACACTGCTCTCCATCCAGGACCACCACCTTTTCGCCCATCAGCATAAGATCCGGCAGAGAAAATAACCCCCTATGGCTTGGAGTGGTTTCGATGGTAAAAAGTTTGCAACCTCTCAGAAAAGAAGATATGTCGTCAATGTTTACCCTGCAGACCAACCAGACAAAACAGTGAGGATGTACGCCATCATCGATGAACAAAGCAACCGGTCTTTGGTACGCACAGACACATTTAAAAATGATGGGCCCAGTTTCCCTATTCCCTTAAAACTTGTGCCAGAGTTATACAAACCATGGAAGAAGGCTTCCAGGTTTCCACTTCCAAGTCTCGTCAATGCGACAAAAATACCCAACGACAGGTCCGGCATCAACCCTGAGGCAGCCCTCCACCACCCACATCTGAGAAAAATAGCACACCATCCCCCACCGTGGAGCCTAAACTCCTATAATGCTCCTTCTGGGGCGTGACATTCTAAGACACAAAGTGCGCCAACATATAAACGGCCCCCATGATGCCCCATATGCACAGAAACTGGACCTCGGATGGGTCATAAAATTAAAATCTGTTTAGGAAATTTCACCCACCCACCATAATAAAACATTGAAAAGGTTTTCGAACCGTGCCCGATTTTTCGATGGAAGACCACCTATTTCAACGGAAAGGACGACGAAAGGGCGGCGCCTTCTATTTCCCTGAACATCATGGGAAAATTTTGGGTTGATCTACCCTTTAGACACGATAAACTGGCAGAGAGTCGACTTTCTTCACCGAGAAAACGCTACGATACAAAGACCCCTTTTTACACGTAAAGCGTTTTAAAAGACCCCTTAGGATTTGGTCACCATTCAAGGAAAGTTAATCTTGAGAGAGCTAACCCATGAAAACAGCGAATCTCCCTCAAAAATGCACAAAAATCTGGTCTTTTATTTCTTGAAGCGCTAAACGAGGTCCGAACCTAGGGCCTTCAAAACTCTCAAAAGCAGTACATAAAGAGCTTTCTTTTCCGATGCATCGACCAAAGCCATCGCTGCAGTGGCCTATCTCAAGGTCACCGACGATAAAGGAAAAACAAATTGGTTTTGGCTTCATCACGGGGAAAGCGAAACTTGGACCCGAACATTCAGTTCCCAGACTGGAGCTCTGTGCCGCCCTCCTGGTAACCGAACTGAAGCGAACTAAACACCTCCTCAGACCCGTTGCGGATTGTCCTTCTCTGTGACGAGAACTAGTCAACGTCCAAGACGTCAGGCGGGAGTGTGTTCTGATCACATAGCACCCAATCGGCCCCTTTGCTTGGGGTCTTCTTTCTGACCCTACACCGGTTGAAGGTTCCCGGTGCTCAGCCTCTATCTAGTTTAGAGCACGGCCACATGGCATGCCCCAGCTTGGCCGATAGTTTTCATCCTTTAAATATCTCGTCATTCTTGGACATCTCCGGTAAGAACTATCGCCTTTCTTCCTTCCTATTATGGAATTATTTAATGCAAGCATTATTTTTAGTATCATTTTCTTCCTTAAACGAACTTTGTTTACCTTCTCACCACGTGCGGAACCTCCACCTTTCCTCTCTGAACTCGACTGTTACTAATAATTTGTATTCTTTTTCTTTCTATGATTCTGTAAGCTTATCGTACCTACAACTACTTTTCCGGTCTTAGTAAAAACCTTCATTTTGTATTTCTGTATTTCTGAAGAAACGTGTTTTTATTTTCAGTTTTACCTTTGTCGACTGTCCCTGTTTCTAAACATACCATGTCTCAGAGTCATTGGATGAGAAAAACGAAATACACGCATCCCGGAGACAGTAAAAAATATTTGCACATAAGTGAATATATTGAAATGTGGCACCATGCATCCAGGCAGAGAAAAGGCAAAAAAGGAAAAGGGAAAGAAAAGGAGAAAGGAAGGAAAAAGTAATGCGAGACGGATCATGAAACACACACGACCTTAAGAGGCAAAAAAAAGATTTTGGATAAGTGGCACATGGCGAAAAGAAGATTGAGGGTAGGGAAGTGTTATCTAAACTATTGGTACGAGAAGGCATCTTAATCAAAACACAGGCCACCGGCCAAGGGAAAAATTCCATCGAAAAAAGTTATTTCGATAAGTGACGACAAGAAACAGGCGACAAAAAAAAAACTTTTTTAGACAGATATGAAAATTAAAGGCCACCTACGAGCAATCATTGACCGAACTTGGCCTGCGCGAATGGAATTGTGTTATCAAGAAATGTTCGCCAAGGAAAGTCCACTTGAAAAACGTTAGATTTTGATAATTGACAAAAACACAGGTGTAGGTACGGAGCCTTAGCTGGGTATGGAAAATTAAAATCCCACACAAGTAGTCTCGCTAATTAAGCTTTTTCGATAAAACAAACTTTTGCCCTGCGATAATAAAATTTTTGTTATCAGACACATGAACCGAAGGAAAATGAATGGAATAAGAAATGTTTTTATTTCTGCCTTGAGACGTCAGACTGACTGAAAACTTGAGAAAATTCTTTTCTGAGACCATGTCGGAAAACCAGCCGTCTGATGAATTGGCGATAAACTGCTTGACAAACGCCACGTGTTGGACAAAGAGTTGTCATATTATCCGTTGATGATAACGGCGATTTAATTAATTTTTTTTTAGTTAAGCAAGGTAAACAAAGCCGCGGGTTGTTCACGCCCGACTAAGACGTCATTGGTCAAGTGGTGATCACATGACGCACGAAGAAGGAGGAAAGATACCCGACCAAGACCTCATTGGCCGAGAGGATCACGTGACGCACGAAGAAGACTGTCGACGCCCCCATCCAGAGTATAAGTATGAGAAGCCGCTACGAAGAAGTGAGGAGGGCAGTTCACGCCCCTCAGAAGCATGGTGAGAAAGTGGGAGTGAAAAAAAAGTTACCAAAATGAAAAGAGGAAAAATCCCTAACCAGAAATAAAAGAGGTGGATATGTATTTAGAATTATCGAGGAACTCCCCGACGCCAACAGACCCAACCCGGTTTTTGACGGCGTCAATAAAAACGAGGCCCCAACAGGCAGAAATCAGTTCGGACCCTGGCGGGCAGAAGATAGTTCGGACCCTGGCGGGCAGAAGTTAGTTCGGACCCTGACGGCAGAGATGAGTGTCCAGTAGTTCCGGCCCTGGCGGCAGAGATGAGTGCCCAGTAGTACGGCCCTTGTGGCAGAGATGAGTATCCAAAGTTCGAGCTCCAGTTTCCAGAGTTGAAGCCGCCTCAAGATAGCTGACCAAGATTCACGCAAAATTTTGGACTCCTCTTCAACCAAGAATAGTTATTTGAAGAGCGACTTAGGACCAGACCACCGAAATAAGTTTTTCGACTTTCGTCCAAAGACACACCGAAACACAAATTTCTTAGAGAGCAAACAACTTGAAGCGTTAAAACTTGCCTAGCGAAAACGACGTGTCACAATCCACAGAACGGGTCGGGAGATAGATGCAGTCCTATGTATCGAACAACTAGACATAAAGTTTGTTACCTTTTTCTTTGATACTTTGAACTTTTTGAGTTTTCATTTTATTTTCTTTTATGCATATTTGTGTGTTATCACCCCCGTTGAACTCAATTTGCATTACGGCTCCAACCCCTGTTTGATCTCGTTTGTCTAAGATCGATTCACAACGTGGGTAGGCAGACTGGAGATCAGTGCAGTTACCTTGGTAACCAGGCGTTGGAAGCGAGTTGGGAACGGCGAGGCTGATATCAAATCTAACCAGATTCCCACCCGAATCACCAAAAGATTAAAACGTCACATTTGGGTGCCGCGACCGATACCAAGCCAGTTGGTCGTCACAGTACGAGACAACACGACTGACGCGACAGGCGAACGTCACGTTTGGAGCAGCGACACCCGGACGGAGCAGCGAGGAGCGAACAGCTGGTGCCGCGGCGAAGACGTCACAATTGGTGCTTTTTAGGGACGTCACAACTGGTGTCGTGACCGGGATAGGACCCTGGAACGGCCACGTCACAACTGGCGCCGTGGTAGATCAGGACAGAACGTCACAGTTGGCGCTGCGACCGGGGGACGACGTCACAGAAACAACCTAAGCGTTCACCCATGCTCAAAGTTGCTTAACTTCGATGATCATACGAGAGCCAGTGTTTCAACCTGATATGGCCATAAGCCTACAAAATTTGTGCTCCGTGAGGAGTGGGGTTTCAGATAATGTGTGGTCCTTATCATCTAACGTAGAGATAGAGGCAAAGTTCATTGCAAAGATTCTTGCCTTGTTATATGAGGGTGTAATAATACCCATTTATTATACCTGCCACAGATACTGTTCCTTCTTTTATATGCAATGTTTCACCCGGGAGTTGGCGGTCATAGCTCTCCACAATTTCCTATTTTTTGTTCTAATTTTAACCCTTTACCATTGCTGTTTGTCCTTGTTCTGTCATCCATTCATACAAAATCATAAAGTAACCTACTCAGTGTCACCCTGCTTCTCTTGTCTTCACTATGTCTTGTGAGTATTAAATTCTCTAAGCCCTCTTTCCTCATTAGAAATTTCATCTGTCTCTTTCTGGTTGTAAGTATCAGTTTCCTTCAACTACCTATTTCTCTTTAAGTGTCCATGTTGCTCATCTGTAGTATTCTCAGCATTTGTTGATATATCTCCGTCAATTCAAATTCCTTTACATCAGTGAGGAAACTGTACAGCATTCACTGCTATATCGGAGATTAGATTATTTACGTTGTTTACATTTGGACTAATATCCACATCTTTACCACAATGTTTCAGCCATTATGCACTCCGGCCTTCTTCAGCTGCCTATCAATCCAGGTCACCTTCAAATAATTTAAAACAGAACACTTTATTTAATCTATAGGGGTAGATCGTTCTTATTCTGTTGTACTGGAAAGACCCACCACCACCACCACTGAAAAAAAAATTAAAAGACAAAATGACTTACAGATGCAAAGAGATCATACGTGCCTTGCACCTAAACGAATCCCCTAGCCCCGAGTTTAAATATTTAAAGACAATAAGGTCACGTGAGATCTCAGAGATATACGAAGTCGAATCTATATAAAGTGAAACCAAATTAGTCTTGACACGTGATTGTTTGAGCTTAGTGTGCAAATTACTCTTTTTGAGTAATTTCACGTCTACTTATCATCTCTCAGTTGCGTCTCTGTCTTTGGGCAGAGTGCGCTCAGGAGCTTCTCTGTCAAAGGACAGAAGGGCAACTGAGGAAAATAATACTGAAGAGGCCAGCGCAACCGACGGTTGCGGGGACTGAGGGGAATTTTTGTTCTTGTCCCGGGCGTTCGAACTCGGTTACCCACCTAAAAATAGACTGTGTCACATCTCGTCCTAGTAGGGGCGGGGGACAGAGTAATTACCGTGATTGTTTGAGCTGTTGCTGCGGAGGTAGTTCTAATCTGATGTCGCTAACACGAATTAATCCGAATTGCTTGTGAATTGTTTCCTTTGGTGTTCCCAACGAACTTGTTTGCCACTGAAAGTAGCTTCATATGTTTATGCACATCTTGTTATTTAGTATTGCTCGATTATTACCTATTACCTGATATTTCTATTGAGTCCAAATCTGCACTGCCTAACCTAAAATCTGAACTCACAATTCTTTCTTTTTATCTGCTATGTCCTCTCAGGGCGTAGGCGATCATGGCTCCCCACCTCCTTCTATCCCTTGCAGCTCTCAGCAAGTTCCTTCCCTCTGCTTCCTCTGCTCCCTCTCAGCAAGTTCCTTCCTTCTGTCATCCACCTGCTCAAGCTCGTCAGGTATGTCCTGCGCTGCTTTTCCTTCTCTCTTTCCCTCTATTCGACCCATGAGTATCAGATTCTCTAGGCCCGCCTTTCTCATTATGTCTCCCAGAAACTTCAGCAACCTCTTTCTGATGTTAAGTATAAGCCTTCTCCTTGTTTGCACCCTCTCCAAGACCTCATCGTTGCTTACATGCTCGGTCCATGATATCCTCAGCATCCTTCTGTAGAACCACATCTCCGTCGCCTCGAGTCTCTTCTTCATCCTTGAGGAAATCGTCCAACATTCGCTGCCGTAAAGAAGAACAGATGCCATGATTACTATACTTTAATGTACTAGGTTGGACAGACACCTGAAGAAGGTTGGTAAGCACAAGGCTAAAATGTTGTGATAATAACAATAAAAATGAGGATATTAGTCCAAATACAAATAATAACTTCCCATCCAAGAAATTCAGACAAGAAATCAGATATTACAAAGGAGTTCAGTAATCTTCTTTTTTTTTTTTTTGTTTCTAATCAGATTATTTTCATATCTGGTTTTAGGAAGACATCTTGTGATCTTCTTAAGTACCTTTGCATTCCTATATCCCAACCACAGTATATTCAGGGTTCTCAGCCTAATTCTTGATTAAAATTCCCTGATAATTCCTTGGAAAATTCCCCAATTGAGAGTTTATCTTCATTATGTAACTTGACTATCAGTTTTCTAAGCATTGGAAACATGGCGAAAAAATCTGTGATGTCATTGAAACTTAGAAAAGTGATAGTCAAGTTACATAATGAAGATAAATTCTCGATTGGGGATATTTCAAAGAGTGTGGGGAAATCTAAAAGTGTTATTCATAGTATTTTAAGAAAACTTGAGGAAACTGGGTCATATGAAGCCAAGAAACCACCTGGCAGGCCTA